CGAAAATAGAAGTAAATATGTCCAGTATGCAGACAGCACTGGCTTTTATGATTCAAACTATAAAACAAATTACAACGGCTCATATAATTTCAGCGCTATGGGATTTCAAAACTATAATGGCGAATATGACAACATGTCACCTTTATATAACGATATTAATTATACGAATAAAAATTTAACACCTTCCAATTTTAGAGAGTTCTATTCTTCTAATGAAGATTACAATTCAATGAGTGAAAGTAATATTAAAGACAATCTTAATAGCATCTTAGAAGTTAATAATAAAGATAACTCTAATAACAATTCAATTTAATAAAGATTTTTATTGACTTTTATTTAAAGAAAACAAAATCACTATTTTTAATAAAACTTAAATCAACTTTATGTCCAACTAATTCTCTAATGTTATTAAGTCCACATCTGATCATTGATGGTCTTTCTACTGATAAACCCCATCCTAGTACAGTGATGTCATCTGAATAACCCATTGGCTCAATCATTTCAGGTCTAAATATTCCTGAATTTCCCATTTCTATCCATTTGTTAAGTCCCTCATGATATCCAAACACTTCTAGTGATGGTTCAGTGTAAGGATTAGAAGCTGGTTTAAATTTTATATTAGAAATACCCAGTCTATTAAAGAATTCTTTAATAATTCCCATTAAGTCTCCCAAACCTAAATTATAACCAGCTATTACTCCCTCCATTTGATGAAATTCAGCTAAATGAGTGGCATCTACTGTCTCATTTCTATAAACTTTATCAATACTAAAAAGTTTCACAGGTTCGAATCTCTTTCCTGCCTTCAAATCTTTTAAATCTTGTAATGATTTGTTACCATCAGTAGTAAAATTGTTATTTAATGCGTATAAATATCTTGCTGTTACTGCCGTTGTATGAGTTCTTAGAATGTTTTTTTCTGATTCTTTAACATCCCATTCCATCTCATAACCTTTCTCGTGTATGTTCTTTACTTTATTAAGATACTCATCATTTACTAACTTAGCACTTACAGGTTTAGATACAAAAAAAGTATCATGTTCATCTCTTGATGGATGATTTTGTGGTTGAAATAGAGAATCAAAATTCCAGAATGAGTTTTCAACATACTGATTAGTTGCCATCTCATGGAAACCCATCTCTAAAAATATTCTTTTAAACTCATCTTTCATCTTCAATAGTGGGTGTAATGAACCACACTGAGGTATTTTACCAGTTGTATCAAAATTATACTTCTTAAAGTATAAATCACTTATTCCTTTTTGTACATGATCAATTGTTAAGACAGAAAGTTCACCTTCATTCTCATTAAAATACTTTTCTCCTCTCATAATTTTATAACTATTTACATTCTTTGATTTAACAAACCCTCTTTTTATTAGTTCATTAATTATCTTTAAATCATATTTAGACTTATCATTATTAAGCTTAATTTCTTTTAATAAATCACTAACAAAATCATTCTTTGGTATTTCATTAATAACTAGTTTGTTATTAACTAATTTAATAGATCTGTTTTTAAATGCTAATGTCTTTATCATTTTATCAACTTCATTAGGATCTAAATGACCCAAACTCTTAATCTTATGAACTAAGTTATATTCTGGTGATCCATTTTTAATAACACTCAATCCTTCTTCTGTCAAATACAACAAATTACTTGTAATCATATCATACTTAATTTTTCCTTTATCAGTCAATGATAATACAATACCATGTAATTCTGTAACTGCTTTATTTAAAGCAAACCTCTTAT